CTGGTCATCCTAAGAAATAGCAATCTATTAGTTAACTGTGTTACACCTAAAGATTGCCTATTTCGCGGTCCGGTCTTATACAAAATCATTGTACAGGATACCCCCACTCGCATGTCTCCACACGAATGACCTGGATCGAGTCGTCTGTAACCTTTACAGAGCGGGCCGTATCCATAGTGTTGCCAGGATAAGGTACCCAGCCTTATCCATATACTATAGACCCTTTAGGTTATTCACAGGACATTATCCATTCATATATCAGGGGTATATCAAATATATACCCCGTATATCAACTATATATCCAGTATATATACTGTCCCGATTACATAAAAAATAACCTTGGATGTTTAGTTTATTGGATTTTGGACAATGCAAAGCTATGATTCAACAACAAATTTATTGAATAAAACTTTATTAAATAGACATTTGTTTTTACAAAATACAAACTACGAGTTTAGGACAACACACCCAACAGACCCATCATCTAGGGTAATACCCACAATTTCATTATTTTTATTTCTAATGGAAGCCTGTTTATGAAACCACTTGGTATTTCTATCACCCCATTTAATTCAGTCCTCACGGAAGCGTTGTTTCCAATAGATTTCTTCAGCTTCAAGAGGCTATTCAAGCGATCCCATCTGATAAACTAAAGAAAAATCAACAACGGGTTGTTTACTGTATTCCTCAGCTAAGGTTGCCTTGAGACTTCTGATTTCCTTAAAAAGATCTCTGCTTAAAGAAGAACCCTAGGACTTCAGCGCTGCACCAATGTCCTTCAGTCGGTAAGAAAGTTTTTGTTCATTTCTTCACTCGACCGCCAATGTCCGCCTTGGTCTATCACTTGTTCACATTCCAGGTTGTGGCTCCAAAACTTCTCAAAACGGAACAGCTATCTAAATCTCCTGTGGTGTCTTCCCCCCATTCTTAGATTTGTAACCAGTTGAATGGCTCGGTGATCGGACTTAGACCACCCAACATGAGAGACTTTAGAGTATGGAAAAATATTCTGGAACTCATCATTTTCAATTATTATAATAAATAACTATTTCTAAAATTATATAGAAAGAATATAATGTTATTGTAAATTTGAGCATAATTTAACTAATTTAAGAGGTTATACATTTGTTTTAAAAATTAATGCTCATATCCTCGCTTTAGTTCAAGTGGAAAATATGGAGAATAAACCCAACGGAGAAAGTGGTCAGCACAAAGGGAGCAAGGGTGAGTGCATTACACATGTAAAGAGAATATAAACCCTAGTACCAACGAAACTAAGAAAAACTATTGATCAAAGATGAGACTTCATCCTGACATCCGAGTTGGTCTTCAGAGAGCAGAAAACGAATGAATAGCTACTTGTGAAGAATCTGTTATCGAATAAAATGTTGGTCAATCTCAATCGTTTGATTTAATTTTGAAGCACTAGATTTATGGGCAACACTTGTCAAATAACCCAAAAGACGAAGAGGGTGCAAGCTTAATGAATCACAAGAGTTTTTTTTTTTTTCTAATTCATTTTGATTTTCGTAGTTTCAATAGCAAAGATCAAATCCATATAATTGATGGAAAAGATGGACAAAAATGGAACCGTAAGCAATAATTTCGTTGTGTCGTGGACATGACCACTGACTTGAAATCAAAATCGGTACGACTTTGGTGCTAAATCGTTGTATTTCCGGAATGCTCCCCAATGTTAACAAACCTTCGACTAAGACATGCACTCGTCAGAACGGAGTAGAATCACCTTGCTCATAAAATCTTTAAGGAAAACACAAATTGAATAGAGAGGGAGAGAAGAGAATGAGATGAAGAAAGAGTGGAAGAGAACACTGAATTTATAGTGATGGATAGGTCCATAATAGAAATTTAATTTGTAAAAATAAAAACATAAAAAAATTTAAGGCCTTCCACATGTCCCTTGAAGGGTGGCCCATGGTTTAGGCTTACCCCAAATCATGTTTACAAGTCCACTACAAGTCTTTAGCTTATAAAGCCTCTTCCCAAGGGATAATCTTTCCATGTGGGACAATTTATGGCTAAAGAATTATTTTACAACATCATTCCCAACAATCCCCCATGAACAACAAATAGTAAAATAAGATAAAAGAGAAAAAAAATTTTCTGAGCAAAAGAAAAGTAAAACTTAAACACTAATATCTTTCGATTTAAACCAATGCATAGTGAAGTAGGGCAATAACTAAAATAGTGAAAGTGAGTTGTCTCTTGAACTTCCATTAATTATGGTTAAGACCCCCCACAATACGTTTAGACCCTTGATTTTGATTCCGCAATATTCGTCAAGTGATATTAATGGTCATGTACATAAACACCTTAGGTCATCGTGAAAGCTCTAGAAAAAAACTCAACTCTTTCATAAAAGGTGGCTTCACCTTCATAATCACGTTATTGCTTCATCAAGTTTATCATAGATAAACCACTCAGACTTAGAGCTATGAAGACTTTGAACATTTATCTATCAAGTTCGTACAATGACCACTCCAAAGAAGGGCTATGGATTCACATAATGCTCCACTACATCCATCAAGTCTATACACGGACCACCCAAAGGATGGGCTATGGATTCACATAAGTGAGAAATATCATGGTTTGAGTCTCATACATCATAAGGACTCCAGAATTACCCTCCTTGTTTGGTGAAAGGATCTGCCAAGTTCCTCTCGGACCTCACGTACTCCAAGGATATAATTTCATCTTTCAACAACTGCTTCACAGCTCCATGTCTTGGACGTATGTGGCGTCTATTGCCATTGTACACTACTTTTTGTAATCCCCACGGCAGCTTGTGAGTCACAATGTATGAATATAGGTACAGATTTCCCCCACAGTGGTACATCTTCAAGAAGACTTCTTAGCCATTCAGTTTGTTGACCTACTAGTTCAAGTGCTATGAACTCATATTCCATGGTATAGCGAGCAATGCAGGTCTGTTTGCTGATTTCCATGAGATAGCTCCACCGTGATAACTCTCCAAAATAGAGTTATTCTAGTGTTTATTTGGGTAGTTTTGTATAAGGAGTTGTCAAAGTGTGTCGGTTTTGGTGCTCAATTAGCATAGAAAAGAGTAGAAAATGGAATCCGAGCTAAAAGTCCTAGGTCTTGAATGTTGTAGCTAAATATTACACTAAATGCTCTTATTTCTGGTGTAAATGCACAGGTTTGGAAGCTAAAGAATAAGTATAAAGGAAGTGCAAAAATCCAGAGAAGAGTATGTAGGATAATTTCAAGGCAGAGCAAATAAATGCTGGAGCGAGGCAAAGTTGGAGCATGGATTCACTGTGCAATAACAGCCCAGACACAGGATTTATCGTGTCCGTAGAATTTTAAGCTAGATGCCCTAAATTTGGAACCCGATATAAAAGGGGAATGTTGCCCTAGCCGCCAGAGAGATATCCCAAGGGAAGCACGTTTTTTTAGAGTTGAAACAACAAGGGGAAGGATTCTCTCCATTTTTGGGGGTATAAAGCTGACGATAGGGGGGATATTCTACTGTAATTTCGAGTTGTCATCCTCTTCTTTTTCAGTTTTTCTGCTATTTCCCTAAGATGGATTGTCTTCTTCTTTTACCCATTTTATTTTCTTCTTCATTTATGAGCTAAACCACATTTCGGGGGAGATTTCCATGTTGTAACTGCTGTAAACTGAACCTCTAATTGCTATATTCGTTTTTAAATGAAGCTGAATTAATTTCTGATATCTTATTGAGCATTGTTGGCCACTTTGTTCTGTTTTCTTGCTTCTATATTGACCCGGGAGGGTTATGGGTGCTGAATTGCTTCATTTGGGATTAGTACTTTTCTATAGTATTTTGTGGATTCTCAAGAATGGGGCACCCTAATCTTGCCTAGAGCTTGTTTTTACTGCTTGGAAACTTAACAATGGGAGTTGTGAGTTTTCATGTTCGGGTGTCTAGGAAGGGAACCAAGTCGAGTTGGGCATTAACGGATGTTTATTAGTTAGAGGGTAGGTTGATAGGTTTGTGAATGCATGTGAATCTCCCCCCCTTTTCCATATTTGTATTCTCCTCGTTTTCATATTCTATGCTGGTTCTTCTGCTTGTTATAAGCTTTACGAAGTGTGTCTGCTACTGTGTTTTGTTTACTGCTTTATTTATTTTATGTTTACTTGTTCAAGTCACAAAACAACTTCTATACATCTTTATTTTACACTTTTGGTATCTGTGAACGCTGTTTAAAATATCATCCCAAGTCCATGTAGATTCGACCTTGTTTCGTACTACAATCGACATTTTGTGTATACTTGCACGTGTTGTCAGCACGGTTGTGTGGACGCAACAAGTTTTTGGCATCTTGCCAGGGACTTTAGTGATTTTATTCTAAACAATAGTTTTTGTAGATACAGTGCTTAATAGAGTTTTCTTTTTCTCACATTTTTGTGTGGTTGTAAGTGCATGAACGATTTTGAGAGCTTGGAATACATTATTGATCACGAGATAGAACGAACTTTCCATAGAAATCGACGAGAACAAAGAAGAACCCAAGCTGAAGCAAATATGAATTCACCCAACCCGAATATGCGTCAACCTATTCCGCCGAATGTAAGGATCGAGGAAATAGTAGATGGGGTTCTTGTTGCTGTTGACCCTGAGGTAGCAGTGCTCCCTCTAGCTCAATGCTATATTACTAGCAGATGACATCAATAGAGAAATCAGGGCATATGCAGCTCCAGCATTTTATAATTTCAATCAAATAATCACGGAGCCTGAAATTGCAGCCTCAAAGTTTGAACTAAAGCCGGTAATGTTTCAGATGCTCCAGACAGTGGGTTAGTTTCACGGATATTCATTGGAGGACCCGCATCAACATCTGAAGTTTTTTATGGGAGTTTGCAATTCGTTTAAGGATGAAGGATGCAGCAAAGAAGTGTTGCGGCTTAAGTTGTTCCCTTATTCACTTAGAGATGAAGCGAGAACTTGGTTGGAGTCACTCCCTTCAGAATCAATTACAAGCTGGGACGATTTGGCGGGAAAGTTTTTGATGAAGTACTTCCCACCAAGCAAAAATGCTAAGTACAGAAGCGAAATCAACAATTTTAAGCAATTTGTTGGGGAGTCGGTTAGTGAATCTTGGGAGCATTTTAAACGGCTTCTGCGAAAATGCCCTTACCATGGGATCCCAAGATGCATCCAGATCGAAACGTATTACAATGGTTTGGACGATGCCACCCATCTTGTCATCGATGCGTCAGCAAATGGGGCTTTGCTAGAAAAACCTTATACTGAAGCATTCAACATCTTGGAAAGGATATCGTCCAACAATCATTCATGGTCTGACCCTAGAGCCATCCAAGGAAGAGGAAGAAAGCGATTGAATGAATCAGAGTCTTTCACCGTCTTAAATTGTGAGAATTTGACAGATTTGGTTATGAGGAGTATGACGCAGCAAAACACAGTGGGAGCATCTGCTGGTAAGGCAAATGTTAGCCACATCCAAGGGATTTCTTACTCTTTTTGTGAAGGAGATCACCATTACAACAATTGCCCTGACAATCCAGAGTCGATGTACTATTTGGGTAATCTGCAGAATAGTAGGAACAATTCATACTCTAATACGTACAATCTGGGTTGGAGGATCCACTCTCACTTATGTTGGAGCGAAAGTCAGAGAGGAAACGATGATGGTACATCTAATGCTCCAGCATATCAACAAAAAGGAAGTTATTCCCTAGGCTTCTCTACATCCACATATTAATTTGTCATTCAAGCTCATGAACCTATATACAAAACTATTTTGAACATAACTAATGAAAACACAATCAAAAGTTTTAGATCCAACAATAGGTTTTTTGAATGCAACTTCCCCCCACACATCATCAGATAAACTAGAACTTAATAGCATGAAATTTATCATCTCTTTTAAAGTTCTATTTTTCCGTTAAGCTATTCCGTTCTGTTAAGGTGAATATGGAGTAGTAAATTCATGTATAATTCCACTTAATTCACAAAAATCTCTAAGCAAATTATCACTATGTTCACCACCCTATCTGATCTTATCTTTTTATCTTTTTATCTTTCTGTCTAATTGGTTTCCACTTCAACTTTGAATTTCTAAAACAAACTACTAGTTTCATTTTTAGATTTTAGGAGATATATTTTCGTATATCTAGAAACATCATCGACAAAAGAAATATAGTAATTTTTTCCACCTCTGTTAGTTGTGTTTTTGAAATCAGTTAAATCATAATGAATTAATTCTAGGAGTTCAGTACACCTTGCAGTGACAGGTTTAAAATGTTTCTTAGCAAATTTTGCTTCTACACAGATGAACATTGTATAGTTTCAGGCAAATCATAAGCATTAATTAAATTTAAAGTTCTAAGCCTTTTAATCGATGCAATATTCACATATGCTAATCTACCATGCCACACATCAAGAGACTCAACTATGTAAGCAGAACTAGAATTAATTTCATTTGATGAAGTAGTGTTGAGAACAAACGAACCATCTGCTAAATAGCCCTTAACAACAAAGACACCACTTTTTTGTGATAATAACCTTGTCGGCCTCAAACACAATCCTAAGTTCGGCTCGGTTGAGTAGACCTCCTGCACCAAATTCCTATGCATGGAAGGAACATACAACACATTATTTAATGCTAAAGTTTTGTCAGATGTGAATTTCAAGAGAATCTTCCCTTTCCCAAATACTCCATATGTGGTAGACTTCCCCATAAAAATACATTCACCATTAGTGAAGTCCTAAAAGTCGTGGAAGGGGTCACTGTTCGAGTAGAATTGTTTGGACGCTCCTGTGTCAAGAATCCAATCGGATTTGTTCTCTACCAAATTTTCTTCCACAACCACAGCGACAATGATGTCGTCCGTCTTTGCAAGATTGGCTTGTGGAGTAACCCTTTGATCTTTCCTATCTTTCCTCTAAGTGCACTGATAGGATTTATGCCCGGATTTTCCACAGACATAACATACCAGTTTGGATTTCTCAACTCTTCTACCAGTATTTTTGGGTTGGAGACCTTTGTTCTTTTGAGCTCTATCCCTTGAAATTTGCTTCCTTTTGTTCTTGAACTTGCCTTTGGAAGCACTAAAAGATTCAACTAAGTTAGCTTTAACTGAATTTAGGGATTGATAAAAGATATTATCCTTTAGCCTATTGGCTTCCTCCATGCGCATGTGACTGATCAGTTCTTGCAGAGTTAGGTCCTTCTTCTTATGTTTCAGATGGTTGCGATAATCACTCCAGGAATGAAGGAATTTCTCGATAAACACATTGGCGTGAAGAATCTCGCACATCTTCATAACTTCAGACAACACACTTGCCGCATGGTTCTTGTACTCATGAACCTGATCTATCACCTGTTTGTTGTCCGACATTTGAAATTGTAGCCATTTATCGATGACGTACTTCCTCCTACCTGCATCGTCCCCACCATATCTATACTCTAACGTGTCCCAAATGATCTTTGCAGATTTTGGACTACAAAGAGATCAAAGAGAGAGTTGTTCATATGGTTAAGAAGATGCCCACATATCATTTTTTTGTCTTTCTCGAATTTATCAGCTTTGACGATAATGGTAGTAGACGTCCTAGGATGAGCAGCAATGGCTGAAGCGGTGGCAGCGGTAACGATAGGCGGATCAGTGACGGCTGCACTGATGGAAGCGATAGTAGTAGCAACGGTAGCAACGACGGCGGTAGTGGTGACAGCGGTAGCAACAACGGCGGGCTAAGGAACAATGAGGATGTAGTCGATCTCCAATTGCTCAAAGAAAATCAGTAACTTTTTGGAACTATATTTACACAATTATATAATTTTAGGATATAACATTTTGAGAGTGGGTTGTAGAAGATATTCTTCACATAATATAGTTCCAAAAAGAAAAAGAATAACTATTTATAATCTATTCAACAAATATTAGTAGTTGAACTAAAAGACAAATAAAATCAGAAACTGACAAATATATAAAAAAAAAATAATTAAAAAGAAAAAGAAAAAAAACCAAGATTTTGTACAACTCAATTTCTAAAATTAATACTTATGCCAATTAGAAACTTAATGCACAGATCATAACTTATTTTTCTCATTTGTAATGTAATAAAGTAGAAAAAAAAAGTGATCTTATTTTTCTCATTTGTAATGTAATAAAGTGGAAAAAAAAAAGTTTAAATTTCATTTTGGTCCAAATTTATTAGACTACAATCTCTGAATATTTATATATTTATTTTTGTTATTCAACTTTTAAAAAATATATAATTACTTTGGTCTGTCAACTTCTTTAAAAAACATATTTTGATGATTATAATTATATTATTTTACCACTTAATATCTTTTTTAAATACAAACTATTTGTACTCCATACATGTCTGCAATATTATTAAATATATACTCGAATCACCCTATCCATTTTCTAAAATTAAAATAAAGATGATTATATTTTTAAAATCTAGAGACTACAATAAACATTTTTAAATATTTTGAAGTTTTAAAGACTAAAGTGAAATAATTTTGAAAGTCATGGACCAAAAATAAATATTTAAAAAGTTTAAAAGTAAAATAAGAAAAAGTAGATTTCCATTAAAAAAAAAACTAACAAAAATCACTCATTTTTTTATGTGACTGCAAAAGTTTTAATGAGCAACAAAATCATATTTAGAAGGTTATTTATGTGTATATATATTCATTTGTTAGTTCACAAAATTATATTATGTTAATCTGA